CACACTCCTGGAATCCAGTTGCAGAGGGAAGAGAGAAAACCAAATGAATCAAGACAGAGCTGGAGAAACCGGCAGAAACAGTTGACCTCATCTAGAGAGACCCTAGTCGCAAAGCTGGGGAACCAGCATTGGATCCAACCAAGCCCTCTGAATGTGGGTGCAAGCTGGGAGGCCTGAGCAGTCTATGGTTCCTCTCACAGTGGAACCAGTGTTTATCCCTGGTGCACAAATAGACATTGGGAGCCCATTCCCTATAGAAGGATATTATTGTGGCCCAGATATGGAAAGGATGGCCTGGGTTCTCCCCTGTAGAAGGTCTCACTATCCTTGGGGAGTGGGTGGGGATGGGTTGGGGGACTTGGTGGGAAGCATGGAGGATCGAAGGGAAGGAGAGGGAATGAGAGGATTGATATGTAAAATAAGACTGTTTCTAAAATTTTAAAAATTATTTTTAAAAAATATTTATTTCCTCCCGGTTTTTGGTATTGTTCGGGTGCTACTGGAAGTAAACTTTCCCTTAAACAAAACAGTCGATCTCTAGTAGACAGGCATTTCTACCCTGTACCACAGTGATGCGTTCCTCTGACTACAGCATCCCTGTACTGATAAAGTCTTCCTCTTAGAGAAAGCGTTAGTTTCCTTCAGAAATCTCTCAACAGACTCCTGAACTGGAACCGCAACTGATGCTTCTAAAGCTTGTCCCCCTGGGTTTCCAATGAGAATTAACTCCTCTTACATGTGTTCCTTCAGGCATTGTCATTCATCACTGAATTGCTCACACATTGAAAATTATTCTTTACTACTACAGTTTTTATAAGCCAGGACTGCGTCTGGAATTTTCATTTTGTTCTATCCTTCACCTACCCTTCTTAATTTTGTGACTGCTTAGTATTTATGAAGCTGCGTACTATTAATGTAGTACTCAGTAGCAGGGCTCTTGCCTAGCAAGCCCAAGGCCCTGGGTTTGTTCTGAATTGCTGTAGTTTTCAACTGCTTAGCTTATTCATTTCATCTCTTCCCCACCACACAACAAATTAATGCTGTTTTGCTAGATGTGAGTATCTGCCTTCTGTGCCTTTTTTTTTAACTAGAACTTTTTGATTACATCTATCTATATTCTTAAAGACTGGTTTGCTCCACTATTAATAATAAAATAGCTTTTAGTTTGCTGCAAGTACTGTTCAAATACCCCCCACTGGAATGGATAATTACAAGGTATTTTCTCATGCTAGATGACTAGTCCATCCAACAACTAACTTATACTGCATCCTGGTCACTTATAATATAGCTTATCTAGCTAAGTCTCATCTTGACTCTTATGAAAACATTTTAACAAAACACAAAATACATTTATTTTCAAACTCAGTAGTTAACAATATACCTTGAAAATCATCTAATACTTTGTGTATTCACAATTCCGCCTAGAATTGTTATTTTTAGCTTTCTATTAGCTTAGAAAGATAAGGCGTCTTTATGGCATTTTTAATACAAACTTAGCTTTGGTTGACATAGTCCACCCCATCCCCTGTTTCTGTCCCCTTTCCCACTTCTATATCCTTCAAACCCCAGTGTCCCAATGCCCCTTCCATTTCCATTTTTAAAGTTTTAGCACTCCCTTTGCCCTTTGCCTGCTCTATAAAAGCCTTTTTAAAAATAATCTTATGAGCCTCTTTCTAGTTTCCTAGCCTTTACCATATTCACAATTGCAGTTGTTTGAATAAGAGTGTCCTTCATAGTCTCATATATTTGAATGGTTAGTCATCATGGAGTGGCATCATTTGAGAAATATTAAAAGGTGTGGTCATGCTGGAGTAGGTGTGTCCTTTTGGAGGAGGTGTGTTGCTAGGGGTGTGTTTTGAGGCTTCAAAAGTCCATGCTAGGCCCAGTCTCTCTCATTCTCTCTACCTGTAGATCATGATGGAAGCTCTCAACTACTTTACAGCACTATGCTTGCCTACATGTTTCCATATTCCCTGCCAGAATGATAATAAACTAAATCTCTAAAACTGTAACAAACTTCCAATTAAGTTCTTTCTTTTATAAGTTACTAAAGTTATGGTGTCTCTTCACATCAATAGCAGTGACCAAGGCCACGTCCATTTTGATACACATATTTAACAATTAGGAGGTAGGATCTACATGTGAGAGAACGAAAACAGACATTTCCTGGTTCCAAATACCTGGCAGCCACTTACCAAATTACGAAACAAAGGGTTTATTTTAATTAAAAATGCTCTGCCAAAAGCTCAGGCTTATTACTAACTAGCTCTTACATTTTAGGTTAACCCACATTCCTTATTTACACTCTGACACATGGCAGTACCTTTATTAGCATGGCACATTCAACTCCTCCTCCCTTTGTATCTGGCTGGCAACCGCAGACTCCATTCTTCTTCTTCCCAGAATTCCCTGTGTCAGGCTGTCTCACCCAATCTCTTCCTGCCCAGCTATTGTCCAATCAGACTTTTATTAACAATGAGAGCAATGAACATTTAAAGTGTACAAAGATTGTTCCACAGAAAGAGAAAACATGCTGTATTTGTCTTTCTGTGCCTGGATTTTCTAACTTAATATAATGTCTTACTGTTCAAACCATTTTCCTGAGAATGCCATAATTTCATTTTCCTTTATGCTTGAATAAAGGTCTATTTGTTATATGTCCCATGTTTTCATTATCTCTTGACAGACATCAAGGCTGACTCCACTTCCATTTTATTATGAAAAGAGCAGTAATAAACATAGATATCAAAGTATTTTTATGGTTGTTTAGGTATGCCAAGAGGAAGCATAGCTTGGTATGGAGTTCCATTTTTACTTTTGAGTAGCTGCCACACTAATTTAGATAATGGCTATACTAGTTTATACTCTCAGAACAGTGACTAAGATTCCTCAGACAAATACAAATTATTTTGAGTCCATTGCACTAGTTGGAACTGCTGTCATCAGGAAACAAGTGACAAGAGAACCTGGGGAGGAGGAGAACAAGAGGAACCTGCTGTGGCACATCACTATGAATATGTATTACTCTTATTTGCTAATAAAAAGCTAACTGTCTAATAGCTGGGCAGAACAAGATTGAGCATGAAAGCCAGATTAGGAGAATGCTGGTAAGAGGAAGGAGTCAAAGGGCAGAAGGCAAAAGCAGAAAAGCAAGATGGGAATGCCTTACCAATTTAAGGGACCAAGTCCAGTGGCTACACAGACAAGAATTATGGGTTAATTAATTTAGTTGCTAACAAGCCTGAGCAATCAGCTGAGCATTTATAAGTCATATTCAGCCTCTGAGTGGTTATTTGGAAACCGGTGGGCAGGAGAAAAACATATGACTACAGTAATGTTTATTATGCACTCTTTAAAAGGTAACTCTAATTGCTTCTAAGTAACTCTAATTGCTTCTAACTTCAGCCCCTACCTGTGACTTCTAATGGCCTTTCTGATTTTTACAGAAATTATTTCTTTTTTAAGTTTCATCATCATATCCCAATCATTGTACAATGAATTGTTTTTCATTTTACAGTGAAAATTTTGTTTTTAAATATCAAAAAACATTCATGAAATATATTGAAGCATCATTAATATTTCCTTAAATGGCTTTCTGAAATTTCTTTACATTAACGCCTCTAACATTGGCTCATATGGGATGAGTCTTCTGTTTCAGCCAAATAGTCACTGTGCATCACCCCTTTCCTAACACTCTATTGTACAGTCTTTGGGTCCCTCTTGAAGCCATTTCCCTCTTCAAGATATCGATAGTAGATCTCAATTCTAGGTAACTTTTATTTTCTCCCTAAGGAAAAAAATTGTTCCTATAGTCTGCATAACTATGGTTTCATATTAATACCGAAGAACACACTTTAAACTATTTTAGTATGCCAAATCCTATGAAGAGGTTTGTATCAGAACCATTCAAATCACTTTGTACTTGCTTGTATAGTCACAGATTTTACAACGATTTTAACGAGCTGTTTCTCATCATCAAGTTGTTAAGGTATATCATATTCTTTTTACATGAATAGTTCTTATTCCTTATAAAACTGACATCGGCTTAATAGTTTGATATCTTTATGCAGCTCCTGTGGTAGCATAAGTTTGGATTTCAATAACCAAAGTTACTGTCAAAATTACAAAGCCAGTTTAAGATGAAGAGCTTGGGGCAACTTTAAAACCTATATAAAAGTCCTATACGTCCAAGTTTTGTCCTTGTGTAATTCTTTCTCTTGGCTGAATAGTAGATAAAAATAAAAAAAAAGTAAAGCAGAATACAAGTCTACCTCCTATGCCACCTGCTTATGCCTGACACTAAATAGTTCTGGCACATAATCCTGTTGAAGCAAACAAACAAACAACAGAAACAGCTTTATGTTCTCAAATGCTTCCCTACAAAGATAAATCTATCATCGTGTCTTTGTCTCATACAAAGTTATTCTAAAAAAATAATCGGTCCAGATTTCCAGGCCAGGCCCAGGAGCAGAAAACGTTTAGGAGCCATTTTGTATGGTCGTCTTCCGCTCCTGAGAGACCGCGCTTGCTGTGTCTCTGTCCCAAACTTGCCTTTACAGGAGACAACAGTAGCTTCTATTAAAAACAAAGTCATTCTTCAGGGGACAAATCACGCACTGCAGAAATCAATCCCTAACCGGGTGGCTGAAACTGCGGCTGGGCGTGGCAGGGCGAGCCTCCACCACCAGGTTCAGAAGCCAGTCTTTGGGGTCGAAGCAAGCCTGGGCTATCAATCAAAGGAACTGACAGACTTTCTCCACGAACAAAATAAAACGACCGTCATGACTCCGCAACAGAGAATTTTCCTTCCATCCTAACGCTCTATGTCCTAACACATTGGACTGGGAAGGAAATCCAACACAAATGTTCTCTTTTCTCTGGGGGGGGGAGCCAAGCAGCTAACCAAGAAAGGCCCCGGAAATGGTCTGCAGTCAGTTATTAACAATTTGAGATGATCTCTGTGAACGAATGATTAAACTGAATCCCCACACTGGACTTACCGGATACACAACAGGCACAAGCCAGAAGAAAATGGCACCGAGGCGATTCCAGTACCCGTCAATATACCTCCCAGAAGGAGGCACTTCCTGTGGTAGCTCCGCCCCAGAGGGAAGGAGGGGGCGGGCCACATGAAAATGGAGATTCCAAACTGACCAATCAAATGACCTCATTACTTCCAGAGGCTATATCAAGGAGGCTGGTGTTTGGGAGTGTTTTAAGGCATCAAATGCCCTGCGCCCACACCTGGTATGATGAAGGAAGCTCCAAACTTGAAGATAATGCATCCCAAAACGCCAACCCATTGTTTCTCTTCCCTCCCAAGCTATAGTACTCGCTACCAAACCCAGGAGCTTTCTCTCAATTTATATTTTTATTTCAATTAGTTATGAGGGAACTTTGAGACTTTCCTTAAAACCTCAAAGGGAAGTCAAAACTCCATATAGCTATCTGGCTCACCTGTTTCAATGGTGACAAATTAATCTTATGACCAAAACGGAACATTTGGAAGGCAAAGTGACAGTATCTTTATTTAAAAATCTAGGGGTGTAGGGAAAAGGGGCCAGTCAAAGAAACACACTTTGGCCCTGCAACCAGAACCAAAGAAATGTACCCTGACCGTGAAACCAGTACCAAAAGAACACACTTTGTCCTTCAAATCTGAGTCAGTGAAACAAATGTACCCTGGCCCTAAAATTGGAGCCAAAAGGCTAAAAAGAACCAGAGAAAGAAACACATTTTGGCCCTGAAACCAGAGCCAAATCTGACCCTAATCCTGTGCAGAAAACTAACCAATCCTCGAGCAGAGCTCCAGCCGATCTGAGCTCAGCACTAAAATCTGACCCATCCCCACCCTGGAAGCCCTATATAAACCCTGTGTCTGTTCAGCTTGTGGATGTTCACGCTACCCGCCGCTACCCACACAATACCTGGTAGCCACTCTCCTGGATCTTTCCCTCGCAATAAACCCCTTGGATGAGCTTTGGGTGAAGATCTTCTGCAGCATAGAGCAGAGGCGACCCTGGGCAGAGCAGAGCAGAAGGAGCAGGGCTGTAACACAAGCCCAGGAAACTTACCTTGGCAGACCTCTCCAGGAGCAGAGCTGAACTGTAGCAACTTTGCCAGAGAAACCTCCTGCCGAGCAAAACTGCTACACCAGGCACTGGGCAAACATCCTCAGCTGGGAGACCCTGTCCTGCCAGGGCTGGGGGTTGGGGTGGGGTGGGGAGGCGTTTCCCTTTTGCTGGGCTGCAAGCAGCTAACCTTACTGCAACCTGTGGTGATCCTTGGCTCCCTAGCTCCAGGATACTTTTCTATCTGAGCTGTGTAACACTCAGTATCCTATGGCTCCTGAGTTCCAGGATACCTTTCCACCTGAGCTGTGTAATGCTCAGTATTCTGTGACTCTGGAGTGCCAGAATACCTGACCCACTCCCATTCCATCCCGACATGCCAACAAGGGGTTTAAGATTTGAGGATGTGATTTTGATGAAACTGTAGAGAATAACTAACTCAAAGGTGATTTTGCAAATGAAAATGTTTCTAAATACTAAAATGTCAGAAAAATCTTAAAATTCTGTGTTCATGACATAAATTTAAAATTCCATTAACAATTATTAGCATGTGTTTATTTATTTTAACTAATGTATCAGATTTAAAGTCTTAATATTTAATATTGTCACTGATACTTTCTAGAAAGCATATTTTGATATGTTTTTAAAATTCTTAAAATTACTTCTTGTGATGTTTTGGATGAGAATGGTCCACATAGGCTAATAGTTTTGAAGACTGGGTCCTCTGTTGATAAGATTGTTTGTAAAGCCTTAGGAGGTGTGGCATTATTGGAGGGGCTGTGTCAAGAGAAACTTTGAGGTTTCAAATCCCACCTCATTCCTTCCATTCCCCATTACCGTTCCCTACCTCCTACTTAGCTCTCTCGGCTACTACTTCAGGACCATTCCTGTCTGCTGCAATGGTTCCTGCCTTGAAAATCACAAACTCTAACCCTTGGGAACTGTTAAGTCCCAAGTTGATTTTCTAAGTTGGGGTGGTCATGGTGTTTTATCACAGTAATAGAAAAATAACTGAGAAAACGTCAGTCTTCTTAAATTATTATGGGTCAGGTGTCACTCAGATTCACCAGTCTTATTCAAATTTTAATTTTAGCAAAATAGAGGCTTTTCAAAAAAAAAAACATGGCCAGGTCCTTGAAGAATTGTGATGGAATTTTGGTAGGGATTGCATTGAATCTGTAGACTGCTTTTGGCAAGATTGCCATTTTTATTATGTTGATCCTACCAATCCAAGACCATGGGAGATCTTTCCATTTTCTGGTATCCTCTTTGATTTCTTTCTTTAAAGACTCAAAGTTCTTGGTATACAGGTCTTTCACTTCCTTGGTTAACATTATCCCCAGATATTTGATGCTGTTTATGGCTATTGTAAAGGGTGATGATTCTCTGATTTCTTTCTCAGTCACTTCATCTCTATATAATAGGGACACTGATTTTTTTGCATTTACCTTGTATCCTGCCACATTGCTGAAGGTGTTTATCAGCTCTAGGAGTTCCCTTGCAGAGTTTTTCAGGTCACTCATTTAAGCTATCATATCATCTGCAAATAGTGAAAGCTTAACTTCTTCTTTTCCTATTTGTATCCCCTTTATCTCCTTTTGTTGTCTTATTGCTGTAGCTAGAACTTCAAGTACAATATTGAACAGAGAGAGTGGACAGCCTTGTCTTGTTCCTGATTTTAGAGGAATTGCTTTGAGTTTCTCTCCATTTAGTTTGATGTTAGCTGTTGGTTTACTGTATATTGCTTTTATTATATTCAAGTATATTCCTGTTATCCCTGATCTCTCTAGGACCTTTATCATGAAGGGGTGCTGGATTTTGTCAAAGCTTTTTCAGCATCTAGTGAGATGATCATGTGGTTTCTCTTTCGTAGTTTGTTTATATGGTGGATTACATTGATAGATTTTTCTAACGTTGAACCATCCCTGCATTCCTGGGATGAAGCCTACTTGATCATGGTGGATGATTTTTCTGATGTGTTCTTGAATCCGGTTTGCGAGTATTTTATTGAGTATTTTTACATCGATGTTCATGAGGAAATTGATCTATAGTTCTCTTTCTTAGTTGTGTCTTTGTGTGGCTTGGGTATCAAGGTAATTGTAGCCTTGTAGAAAGAGTTTGGCAGTGAGCCTCCTGCTTCTATTGTGTGGAATACTTTGAGGAGTATTGGAATTAGCTCTTCTTTGAATTTCTGGTAGAATTCTGCACTGAAGCCATCTGTGCCTGGGCTTTTTTTTTTTTTGTTTGTTTGGGAAACTTTTGATGACTCCTTCTATTTCATTAAGGGTTGTAGGTCTGTTTAGATTGTTTATCTGCTCTTGATTCAGTTTTGGCAAGTGATATCTATCCAGGAAATTGCCCATTTCCTTTAAATTTTCAAATTTTGTGGAATACAGATTTTCAAAGTATGCCCTGATGATTCTCTGGATTTCCTCAGAGTCCATTGTTATGTCCCCTTTTTCATTTCTGATTTTGTTAATTAGCATGCTCTCTCTCTGCCTTTTGGTTAGTTTGGAACGAGGTTTGTCTATTTTGTTGATTTTCTCAAAGAACCAACTCTTTGTTTCATTGATTCTTCTCAATGTTTTCCTGGTTTCTACTTGATTGATTTCAGCCCTCAATTTGATTATTTCCTGGCATCTGCTCCTCCTGGGTGAGTCTGCTTCTGTTTGTTCTAGAACATTCAGCTGTGCAATAATCAACTTTATATGGAAAACCAAAAGTCCCAGGATACCCAAAACAACCCTATACAATAAAGGAACTTCAGGGGGGCATCACTATACCTGACTTCAAGCTCTATTGTAGAGCTATAGTCCTGAAAACAGCTTGGTTTTGGCACAAAAATAGGCAGGTAGACCAATGGAACCGAATTGAAAACCCTGATTTTAACCCACACACCTATGAACACTTGATTTTTGACAAAGAAGCTAAAACTATACAATGGAAAAAAGAAAGCATCTTCAACAAATGGTGCTGGTATAACTGGGTACTGGTATGCAGAAGACTGCAGATAGATCCATGTTTATCGCCTTGTACAAAACTTAAGTCCAAATGGATCAAAGATCTCAACATAAATCCAGCCACACTGAAACTTTTAGAAGAGAAAGTGGGAGATACTCTTCAACCAGTTGGTACAGGAGACCACTTCCTGAACATAACACCAGTGGCACAGACACTGAGATCGATAATTAACAAATGGGACCTCCTGAAACTAAAAAGATCCTATAAGGCAAAGGACACAGTCAACAAGACAAAAAGGAAGTCCACAGAATGGGAAAAGATATTCACTAACCCCATATCTGACAGAGGGTAAGCTCCAAAATTTACAAAGAACTCAAGAAGCAATTCTCCAAAACACCCAAAGATCCAACTAAAAGGTGGGGTGCAGATCTAAATAGAGAATTCTCAATAGAGGAGGCTAAAATGGCCAAGAGACACTTAAGAAAGTGCTCAACATCCTTAGCCATCAGGGAAATGCAAATCAAAACAACACTGAGATACCATCTTACTCCTGTCAGAATGGCTAAAATCAAAAACACCGAAGACAATTTATGCTGGAGAGGATGTGGAGAGAGGGAAACACTCTTCCACTGCTGGTGGGAGTGCCAACTCGTACAGCCACTTTGGAAAGCAGTATAGAGTTTCCTCAGGAAAATGGGAATCAATCTACCACAAGACCCAGCAATTCCACTCTTAGGCATATATCCAAATGAGGCAAATTCATACAAGGGCATCTGCTCCACTATGTTCATAGCAGCATTATTTGTAATAGCCAGAACCTGGAAGCAACCTAGATGCCCCTCAACTGAGGAGTAGATAGAGAAAATGTGGTACATTTACACAATGGAGTATTACTCAGCAGAAAAAAAACAATGGAATCTTGAAATTCCCAGGTAAATGGATAGCACTGGAAGAAACCATCCTGAGTGAGGTAACCCAGTCACAAAAAGACAAACATGGTATGTACTCACTCATATATGGATTTTAGGATTTTAGACATGGATCAGGATAGTGCCAGTCTGCACTTCCACTGATAGAGAGTC